CAAAACATGTGAACGTGTAAAAAAAAAGCATATACAAAGAAAAATGGCCATTGTATACAGAATAATAATACCTTAGCATCCAACATCTGAGGAGTTCTGTTATACTTATAGCCATTGACATTATCGTACATCGGACAAGTTGTGCAGTAAGGATCGCTGCACATTCCGAGCTGCCCGGACTTGTAAAGATTCTCATTTCTCCCCACGAAATCATCACTATCATCATTCGCCCGATCAATAACCGAAGAAGGAAATCTTTCTATTTTAGGCTCGTTTGCCTTTCTGCGCAAAGCATATAGATCTACACTAGTTTGTGCAATGGAATTCCTCCCTTTTTCGGTTCTCAAAGGGCCCGTGAAGCCCACGAGGCTTCGTTCGTATTCGGAGGAATATATAGAGTTGGTGGGGATGGACATTGATGCACTTCTTGTTCTGGTCGAGAGTCCTTTGTTTGTGATAGAGTTTTTCGAGCCTTCATCTGATTGGATGTAAGAACCTTGCAACATGGGAACCTTGTCTCTTTCTGAAGGATCCATTTTTCATATAAACCTGTTACTACCAACATATTTATATATATGTTAGTGTTCAATTAGTACAACTTAAAAGCAGAAAAAAACACTTTTGCCATTTGACGAAGTGATTTAATATGGTACTCTGAAAAACAACATAAACAAACAAAAGTGTTAATTACCAGCTAAAAGTTGAATTAGTTGAAACAGTGTATAACAGGACTATTAACGGTCAAACCAAATTAGCAGAATCGAAAAGCAAAGAGTTGACATTTACAGGATACTGAAAAACTACCCCTCTTTTTTTTTTTATATATAAATTATTATTATAATTACCAAATCAAAACTATATCTTAGACTAAAATCTAACTTTCTCAACATTGTTAATCGGAATTTTTCACCGCTGAATCAAGAGTTTACAGAAATTTAAAGAGTGGTCCACAATCTTGCAGCTACACACATACCAAACGGGATACCGGAGAACAAAAACACACACAAACACACATACCCACATGGGTGTGTTGAGCGAACGGTGAAAAACCCTGGGACTTAGGTCGGGTAAAATATTACTGTAAGAAACATTCGACCCCTACTGGTGAAAGCTATAAAGACATCATTTTTTGTTCATCAACGATCTTA